GGACACACAAAAGGAGGTTCGATGGAATGTTCTATCCAAATTAGGCGGGGGGATCAGGCTTCAGGGGGTTGCCCATCCCCCTCAGGTGACACCCAGGTAGGGCTTGAAGCAGGCCCCGTTGCCGAGCGAGGGAAAGGGCACTTGCCCTGCACAGCTGTCGCGGATGTGCCAGACCAAGACCCCCACCGCTCAAGGGTGGGGAGCAAGCTCAGCCAGGGGTGACGGGGGGCTCCCCACATCCCTCCATCAGCCAGCACTGAAATTCCCCAGTGTGGGGACCATCCTGCTGGGTGTGTCCGAAACCAGCTTGAGTTCTCCATTCTGTTGAAGAAGGACACAAGAGGGGCCTGCTAAGCTCTAGGTGCTGGAACATCCAAAAAGAAAGAGCACGTCTGGGTGCCAGTGACTCGGGGGGCAGAGGCAGGAGGATTGCAAGTTCCAAGCCAACCTGGGCAACTTAGTGAGACCCTGTCTCAAAATAAGAGATGAAAAGGTCTGGGGCTGTATCTTAGCCGACCCAGAGAGAGACGTGGGGCACACGCAGACGGAGGGCACCTGGCAACAAGAGGCCGCAAAGGATTATGGGAGCACTGAGGGGGCTGCCCATTCCGACTCATTCAGCAATGACTCACAGAAAGTGACCATTTAGCGTGGGCCTCACAGGCTGGGCAGAATTTGGACTGAGGGTATTTCAGGTCACAGACTCGTGGTTGGTACCCCAGTGAGTGCAACGCTTGTGGCGGGAACACAAGGCAGACTGGCGGGCAAGGACCACGTGGTAGTAGTGCCACCATGTCCCCTGATTCTAGGATGTGTGTTTGTGACCTTCATATCTCTGAAATTGACAAGTGCCTTACAATCACCTCACAGTCGTCCCTGTTGTGTTTTCTTCCATTAGTGCAAATTAGGCAGTTCTTGTCCCCAGGGGAGAGAGTGCCTTGCACTGATTGGATATTTACAACCCGTGGTACTGTGGTGAAGGCCTTACATGGATCAGCTCCTGGAGTCCTCACAACACACCTGTGAGGTCAAAGTATTATTATTATTTCCAGTTGAATACCTGGGAAACAGGCACCGACGGTCACACAGCTATTAAGTTGTAGACTTGGGATGTGACTCAGGCTGCTACTCTAGAATCTGTATTCTTTTCCCTTTTTAAAAAAAATCATTTAAGCCAGGTGCAGTGGCGCACACCTGCAATCACAGTGCTGCGGGATGGGGAAGTATGAGGATTGAGAGTTCAAAGCCGGCTTCAGCAAAAGTGAGGCTCTAAGCAACTCAGTGAGACCCTGTCTCTAAATACAATACACAATGGGGCTGGGGATGTGGCTCAGTGGCCGAGGGCCCCTGAGTTCAATCCCTGGTACCCTCCACAAAATATCATTAAAAAAATTTTAATTGTGTTAAGAAACACCTAACATTAAAAAAAAAAAAGCCATTCCCCCTCTTGTTCACACCACAAAAGCAGCAGAGGAGACTCCAGTGATCTCCAAAGATGTGGGTAAGTGGCGGATGCTAGCTGGGTGTACCCATATTCAGGTCGGCTCTGACACTTCCCACCTGGAAACAGCACCAGACCCCACAGACCCATGAGCCCGCCCCTCCGCTTCAGATGCCTTTCCAGGCCCCAGGCTGTCTGACTGACAGCTGTAGATCTAGGTTCCCACACCCCTCATGGGCTCCATGGTGTGTCGATGGGTTTGCAGCACCCAGGGACACACATTGCCTTCCTTGTAAAGGATGTTACCGATGAAGAGATGCACAGGGCAAGGGGCGCAGGGGGGCGGTGTGGGGTCTCCCTGCCTCCCAGGTGCACCACCTGCCAGGACCCCGACCCCGGCCATGGTCAGCCCCTGTCAAGTCCCTTTACCCTTGATTTTCTCAAGTATGAACGCAATGCCTAGGGGCAGGGCTTGGGGCATTTATCCTGATCGGTGCTTTCTGAGCTTCTAGGTCTGAACGGTTTGGCATCATTGCTTCAAATATTGCTTTTGTTTCTTTCTTTCTTCTCCCTCTGGCCTCCCAATTTGCATAACTTACACCTTTTGTAGCTGAACCCTAGTTCCTATATATCCTGTTGCGTTTACCTTTTTCAGTCTTTGGTTTCCAATTCTGGAAGTTTATATTGCCATGTTTTCAAGCTCAGAGAGTCTTTCCTCATCCGTGTCCAGTCTACTGATGAGCCCGTCAAAGGCATTCCTCATTTCTGTCACAGTGTTTCCATTTCTGTCATTCTAAAACTCTTTCTTAGAATTTCCATCTGCCTACATTTTCCATCTGTTTTTTTTTTCCTCCACATTTGTAATTGGTGCACTATAGTTGTACATAATGGGGGGATTTTTGGTTACATACATGTGTATTCACAAAACATAATCATATCATTTAGCAGCATCTTTCCCCAGTGCTTCCCGTCGCCTTTTCTATCCGTCTGTTTTTGCATGTTACCTACTTTTTCCATTAAATCCTTTAGCCTATTAACCACATTTACAAAAAACAACAACACAACCAAACAAAACTCCTCATCTGCTAGTTCCAACGTGCTCAACTTTGGTTCTGATGCTTGTTCAAACTCTTTAAACTGTGTCTTTATGTGCCTTGTAATTGTTTGTTGAAAGGTGTACATCCTGTACTTGGTAAAAAGAACTGTAGTGGGCTGGGTGGGGGGCATACACCTGTTATCCCAGTGAGTTGAGACACTGAGTCAGGAGGATCGCTAGTTTCAAGCCAGCCTTAGCAACTTAGTGAGGCCCTAAGAACTTAGCAAGACCCTGTCCCCAAAATAAAAAAAAATAAAAGGACTCAGGATGTGGCTCAGTGGTTAAGCGCCCCTGGGTTCAATCCTCAGTACCAAATAAATAAATCAATAAATAAAAAAGAACTGCAGTAAATGGGCCTTTGGTAATGTGGACGTAAGATGTGGTAGGAGTGAAAGTGTTCTGTAGCCTTGTGATTCTATCTTAGTCTTTCAGTGAGTGTATTAGCCATTTTCTTTACTATGATGAGATACCCAAGGCAGACTACTTTATAAAGAAAAAAGTTTTTGGCTGTTGGTTGTAGAGGCTGGAAGTCCCAACAGGATGGTTCAGGCTCTAGTGAGTACCCTTGCCCCCATCACTTCATGACAAGAGTGTGTGTGTGTCTCCCTAAAAAGCCACCAGGATTCAATCATAGGGGCTCGTCCCTAATGGCCCAGTCTAACACTTCTTGAAGGCCCACCTCTAAACATTATAGTTGGAGTAAGTTTCCACCCTCTAAATGCTATTTATTTATTTATTTTTTAAGAAGTGTTTTGTTTTGTTTTTAGAGAGAATTTTTTTTTAACATTTTTATTTTTCGGCGGACACAACATCTTTGTTTGTATGTGGTGCTGAGGATCGAACCCGGGCCGCACGCATGCCAGGCGAGTGCGCTACCGCTTGAGCCACATCCCCAGCCCCATTTCTTAATTAGTATGTTAACTTGCATAACAAGTTTTATGGTGGTCAAGATAGGAAGACCTGCTAAAAAGAATTAGCGGACACCTCCATCCTTGAAGAAACCAGAGTTTTGGAAATCCAGCAAGCCCTGCAGCCTGTACCCTTTGAGGGGTGTTCTGACACAGGACACTGATCCCGTGTCCAGGTGTTTCTGGAGGCCAGCTGTGGACTAGGTCAGCTAAGCCGGGCCTCGTGACATGTGCCACAGTCCCAGTGCCAGGTCCTCGGGGCTGAGGCAGGAGGAGTGCAGGAGATTGGGACCAGCCTGGGCCACGTGGTGACAGCTGTCTTGATAACCTTTCATGCTTGGTGTGCGTCCGGGGCCTCAGAGCCAGACCAGATTCCTCCTCCCGCTGCAGAGTGGGCTAACGCTGCGCTGAGCCCACTTCTAAAAGGGCTTGGGCTGTGGGCTGGAATTCTTTGGGGGATGGTGGAGACACGAGCCCGACTCCCAGATGCGGCCAGAAGAACTAGACCATTGTGAATGACCACGTGTCTTCCAGTCACATCCTGAAAAAGTTTCTCAGAACAAGGTTCTAGACCATGACCGCCTGTTGCCTGGTGGAGAATCACGGCACCATGGGTTTCCTGAGGGGTAGACCAAGCCAGGAAGCGCCAGGGACCTGGGGGTGTCCTCGTCCAGGTTGGGGTGCCTTCCATGGGAAGGGAAGGGATGCCAGCCGCTCCTCCAGAGCCGGGTTGCTGATTGCCCCTTGGAAATGGGAGACATTTTTCTTCTCCACCCTCCCCCCCCCCCCCAGAACTGCCCAGAGTGACAGGAAACTTGAGGCCAGCCAGGCCAGCCCCACGGCAGGGCCACACCCGGCCTCTTCTGGGAAAGGCGGGAGGTTTGCAGAAACTCTCTAAGAGCCCACAAGGCTTTCATTGTCTGTCAAAACCTCAAAAGTCAAAGGGGACTAATGAGGCGGGGACACTCTCAAGTGCTTGGATGGAGAGAACCCAGACACAGAGTGACAGACGAGGGCCTAAAGCGCCTGCCTGCCCCTGCCCCATCGGGACCCCCGCGGGGAGAGGAGCTGGTCTCCTGGGGGTTACAATAAAACTTTCAGAAATTCATAAATGCAGCATGATTCCAAACCAGTTCAGGGACCCAGAGTCTGGCCCCTGTTCCTAATTCTACCAGCCAAAGTAATTGATGAGGCACCTCGATGCGTCCCCTGCGGGGATCTTAAGAGGTCTGAATTATACAGTGGCTGCAGATCCTCTTGGAAAAAAATCAAGTTCTGTGCAAACACTAATTACCAGAGTTCCATTGTCAGGGGTGGTCAGACTCTCTTCATCGATCTGATACACTAAAAATCGATGTTTCATGAATGACACACGATACATTCCATCCTATAGGACCCAACTAATATGCCAGCGTCTTTGGTTACTATTACTATTATTTTATTATTGTCTTCCTTACTGTAGAGTCAGGCAAATGGAATAAGCCCTGTTAAGTGTGGCTCCCCTTCCTTGAGGAGGAATGTCCTGAACAGTGGGATCGTTAGTGTCTACACAGGCCGTGATAAACAGAGCGTCTTTGGAGTGGAGAGCCATTGCACCCGCGTAACCCTTTCCAGACTGTCTTCCCGGCCGACCAGAGGAGGTTTGGTGGAGTCCTCAGTGCCACCCACTCACCAGCTGGAGAGACTCCAGGAATCCTCTGTGCTGCGAGGAAAAGGTGGTCAGTGGCATCGACCACATGCTTGATCTTCATCCTCCCCGCCTGCCATCGGCAGCCCTCCCCGCGCTCTGTGGCCACCAGGTGGTCAAATCTGCCAGGGAGCAAGGGCAGAGGGCTTCCGGGGAGTGCGGCAGCCTGGCCAGGTCCTGTCTTTGGACTCTGTTATCCTGCTCTGTGCGGGGCCTCTCCTGGGACCAGACCATCACGTGATCTTAAGATGCCCGTGGGGTCCTTAGCGCTCTCCTTACTAGACCCGGAGGCTGCGAGAGCAGGAGGTCATGGTGGCTGGGATGTCTGGGGGCCACTGACAGAGCCGCCTGACCCAGAGGTGGCCCACCGTGTCCCCCTTCCAGGTTCTTGTTCACTTTACAGAAATAAAACAGAATTTGAAACAGAAAACGAAAGAATCAAACACTAGATGAACTTCCAGAGAGAGAGGGGGGGGGGGAAGGAGGGGCCTGGATGGCGTGGCCGGCAGAGCCACACTGGGTCCCCTGCCGGGTCCATGTGTCACGGGCCTTCCCAGCCTCCAGCATGTGGGAGAGCCACCCGACACAGCACCGAGAGGGTTAGACAAGGAGGGGCACAGGAGGGTCTTGGCACAGAGCCCCACACCTACAGGCATAAGTGCCAGCTGTTGCTGCTGTTGGTTGTATTTTTAGCAGGAATATGTTTTTTTTTTCTTTTTCGGTGCCAGGGATTGAACCCAGGGGCACTCAACCACTGAGCCCCAGCCCCAGCCCTTTTTTGTATCTGATTTAGACACAGGGTCTCGATGAGTCGATGGGGCCTCGTTAAGTTGCTGAGGCTGGCTTTGAACTTGTGATTCTCCTGCTTAGCCTCCTGAGTCACTGGGATGACAGGAGTACACCGCAAGAATATGGTTTTGATGATCCCATCATACAGTTGAAGCACATAGATGGTGTTTTTACATCTAAGTCCCCTCACGATGCAGTTCTTCAAAACCTCAACTCTGCCATGGAAAACAGTATGGATGTTCCTCAAAAAATTAAAGATAGAATTACCATCATATCCAGCAATCCCACTTCTGGGTATGTACCCAAGACAACTGAAAGCAGGGACTTGAAGAGGTTCACACCCACCCATGTTATGTTCCTAGCAGCATAACTCACAATAGGCACAGGGAGAGGCTGCCCATGGGCCACTGATATATGAACAGCTAACCGCACATGGGAATATTATTCAGCCTTGAAGAGGAAGGGAATTCAGAGACATGCCGCAACCTGGGAGACTCTTGGACACTTTGCTAAGTGAAACAAGCAACTCACAAAAAGGCAAGACCCCCTTCTATGAGGCCTCTTGAGGAGTCAAAATCATAGAGACAGAAGGTAGAATGGTGGTGGCCAGGGGCTGGGAGGAGGGGGATGGCAGTTGGTGTAGAACCTGTTCAGAGCTTCAGCTTGAGGAGAGGAACAGAGCTCTGGCGATGGATGAGGTGGTGACTGCACAACCTGTGGATGCATTGAACACTGGGAACTGTACACTGAAGAATGGGGGAAGCAGCGCTCACCTGTCATCCCAGTGGCTTGGGAGGCTGAGGCAGGAGGATCCCGAGTTCAAAGCCAGCCTCAGCAACAATGAGGCACTAAGCAACTCACTGAGACCCTGTCTCTAAACAAAGTACAAAAGAGAGCTGGGGGTGTGGCTCAGTGGTTGAGGGCCCTGGAGTTCAATCCCAGTACCTTAAAAAAAAAAAAGAATGAGGGAAATGGGAAACAGGCTGGCGCTCAGTGGTGAGCATTGTATGTGCAGCTTGCATGAGGCTCTGGGGGTGATATGGCAACACAGTTTTTGTTATGTGTATTTTACCACAACATAAAAACCTTTTCCTGTAAAAGTTTTTTTTTTTTTTTGGTACTGGGATTGAACCCAGCACCCAAAAGGGGCATTTAATCACTGAGCCACATCCCTACCCTTTTAAAAATATTTTATCTAGAGACAGAGTCTCTCTAAGTTGCTTAAGGCTTCTCTAAATTGCTGAGGTTGGCTTTGAACTTGCGATCCTCCTGCCCCAGCCTCCAGAGCCACTGGGATGACAAGTGCGCACCATTGCGCACTGTAAATGTTTAAAAAAAAAAAAATCTCCATGCCTGTCCATGTCCTTTGATTGTGCTGGAATGTCAAACATCCCCTGTGCCTTGAGAGGGTGGGCCACCAAGGCGGCCTCAGAATGTACTCCACAGCCCCCACTGGGAAGCAGAGGACGGGGGAGGGAGGAGCTTGACTCAATATTAACAGGCCAGCTTTACAATGCCACCATCATTCCACTATCCAAAGGAGCCAGGGTCCCCCAGCTGAAAGGATTTTCTATCTAATGAGTCCTGACCTGTGGTTTGAAACTGCTAATAATTTTTTAAAAATCCTCCTATTCCCCTCCTTTGTCAGAAGACAAGCCGCTTCTCCCTGCTGCCACACAGCGGCTGGTTCCAGAGGTTCTGCGGAGCCCTGGCACAGCCCCAGCTCCCCGCCTCTTGTGACAGAGGGGCCCTGCAGACCACCTTCCGGGGCTGTGCAGAGGCTTTGCGGGGAGTGAGGAGCACGTGGGTGTTTCCCATCGGGCACTTGATCTGGGACCGGACACACATACCTGGGTGACTTGGGTCCCCGTCTCTGCACAGGACCTGCGAGCGTCTTCTCACCTTGGTAATTAACATTGGGATCGGTGTCTTCAGAGCACCTTGAAGAAAACGGCAAAGGATGGACACATCAGGCCTGGTGTTAGGTTTTGGAAGTTCAAGTTCACTCCCCAAGGGCTCCTTTGGAGGGTCGTCAAGACCACTCTGGAACAATGTCCTCCTGCAGGACGCTGTTCAGTCAGTCCAGGCCAGGACACAGGGTGCTAAGGAAGCTCTAGGTTGGCACGGAGGAGCGTGGAGTCAGGCCAGCGTGGACAAGCACATACGTTGCATGTAAGACGCCCAGAACCCCACACGGACCAAGCCTGTGCCAGCCAGGGAGAGCGCTGGGCACACAGTTACGTGCCCACGGTGACAGTGTGTGGCCCTCCACTGGGCACTGGACGTCACACTCTCACTTTTCTTTCACAGTTCTGTGGAATAAATACCATTGTTATTCCCATTTTATAGAAGAGGAAAACCAAGGCTCAGAGCTACTGAACAGCTTGGGCAACGCCAAGTATTGGGGTCAGTGTCAGGACTCCAGTTCTCACCCCAAGTTCCCACCTCCCCCCCCACCAACTGCATACCTTCAGGGAAATTCAAGAAAGCCCCAGAGACCGAGCCTTGGGTTAGCTACTTATTTGAGAGTGATTTCCAAGATGAATTTGGGTCTTGAAAAAAAGAAAAAAAAAACCCACTTGCTCTAATTATAAAAATAATACCGACTGTGGTAGAACATGAGCAAAATACACACAAACCCAGCTTTCGCCCGCCTATCTCACAGCCATCTGGGGTAGAATCTGGTTTATTCGTGGGCCCAGGATGAAGGCTTCTTCATGTCGAGCTGGATGGGGACAGAGCCGGGGGCAGGGGTCTCCCGCATGATACTGCAGGCCTCCTGGGTCTGCAGGGCTCCTGGACGGGCACCAGGAGGTATTTTGGAGGCGATTCGGCCATCTCCATAATCCCCATCACCGGCTCCTACACTGTCACGTAAGGGTAAGGCCACTTCTCGCTCCCTACTCTCTACATTAAGGCCACACGCTTGTGTCACAAATGCAGCCTCAGGGCAGGGGCTCCTTCAGGCTCTCCATCCCTCAGCTGCCCCGGGCCCTCTGTGAGCGGCTGCGCCTGAGGGCCCACAGGGCAGGCTGAGGTGAGGACCAGGGTCACTGCGAGAGGCCCTGCTGCGGGCCTGGCTGCCGCCCCGTCTGAGGGGCAGGCACGAGGTGGTCATCGGGGAAGGCTGGTCAGGACGGTCCACCTGTGAAGTGATGGGCCATAACTGGGGGACTGGGGACAGGGGACAGGGGACAGGAAGTCACACAGGCTGAGAGCCCCAGCCCCTCCCTGGGCTGCAGGTGGGAATCTCGTCCACTTCCTACCAGCCACCCAAGCCCTGGGTGTCCCCCTCTGCCAAGTCACGCCCACCTACCAGGACGGCCGTGATGGCTCCCTGAGGTGGCGCCCGCCGACTGCCTGGCACAAAGGGGGCACTAAGCAGAGGCGGCTCTTTCTCACGTCCTCAGAAGGGGATCAAGGGTGTAGGTACCCGTCAGGGGGCCCAGGGGACCAACAGGGCAGAGAACATGGGCATCCCAGAGGGGGTGGCACCTGAGGAAGGACACGTGGGGACCTCTGAAAGGAAGGGGGAAGGTGCGGCCCCTCTGGGCTGCAGGGAAGGTCTCCAGGACAGGGCGGCCTCCCGCCTTTCCTCCTCTGGGATGTGTCCTGGGCCTCAGTCACCAAAGGACTGAAATCACTGTCATCAAAAGGCCAGATTGATTCTTTTCTTCATTCAAATGTAATGAAAGTTCTGCAGAATCCAGTAGAACCATCCCCAGCTCTAAGTCGCAGCCACAGAGCAGCTGCCCAGCCCAGCTCCCGGGGGAGCCGCTGCTAAAAAAAAAAAAAAAAAAAAAAAGTGCCCTTCAGCGCAGGGTCCCACGGAAACGGAGCTGGCCGCGAGCAGCACCAGACCTGGGCCATCCCCTGCCCCCGAGACCCTCTCTGCCCTTGGCCACACATGGGCTCCTTCTGCTCTCCCTCCCTCCGGCTCCTCTTCCCTGGAGGGGTCCCTGGGGGTAACCGGGTCCTTTGCTCCATCTTTACTTATTCCCTGGACTTCCCCAGTGTCTTCACTGCGGCTCCCAGGGTGTCAACGGCTCTCTAAGGCATCCTGGTGGCGCAGGCAGCTCTAGGCGCTCACCTGCACGTCCACCTCCCAAGGTGCCTGCTTTAAGCCTGCACTCCATAAGAAAACTTAACTGTGGAAAAAGGCACAAGATATAAAATCCATCATCTGAACCGTTTTTAATTTGGTGGTACTAAGTGCGTTCACCTTGTGTGACTGTCACCACCACCCATCTCAAGGACTCTCATCTTCCTAAATTGAAACTCTGACCCATTCAACACCAAGCCTTCATGTTCCCTCCACCAAGCCCCTGGCAACACAAATTCCACTTTCCATCACTGTGAACTGGACAACTCTAGGTCCCTCCTTTATAAGTGGAATCATACAGTATCTGTCCTCTCACGACTGGCTTATTTTACTTAGCAAAGTGTCCTCAAGGTTCATACATGTTGTGACTTGTGTCAGAATCTCCTCCCTTTTCAAGGCTGAGTAATATTCCGCTGTGCGTCTACACCACATTTTGCATGTCCATCCATTCATCTGCAGAGAATTGGGTTGTTTCCATTTTTTGACAACTATGTTATGTGTTTCTTACCACAACTGTGATTAGTGCTGGATGGAGGGGAATCCTATTTTTAATGTTTTAAGCAGCTGCCATACTGCTCTACAGAGCACCTGCACCATGTTGCTGTCCCAGGACCCGGATTCTTTTCTTTTTTTTTCTTTTATGAATCTGGGGATTGAACCCAGGGACACTCTACCACTGAACCACACCCATAATTTGGAGACAGGGTCTAGCTCCGTTGCCCAGCCTGGCCTTGAACTTATGATCCAGAGGCTGGATCTGTGCAGGTGCTAGCAAGTCACTTCTGTGTGTCCTTAGCCACACCTCTTGACCTCTCTGAGCCTCAGTTTTCCAAGTGGGAACTAAAACAGTTTTGTCTATATCTTAGATTTGTACATTCCACAGAGACAGCTACCCACTTCTAGTCTGCAGCATACCTAGTAAAGAAATCACGAGTGTGTAGGCAAATTTAGTGATAAGGATGTTCACTATGGTATTATTTATGGGGTTAAGTACTGGGATATTAATCAAAGGCAGAACATTTCTATAAATAGATAACATTCCATAGAAATATAATGGAATTCTAGGCAAACATTAAGAAGGACGTTGTGGAAGACTGTGATATAGAAAACGTTCACTATATATTCAAAAGTGCAAAGAGCAAGTTATAAAGTAGTGTACTAGAATTCTAGTCCATATGCATGCCTGCAGAGGTTTGAGAGTGAAGAAAAAAATTACTGTCGATATTGGCTAATTGCAATGTGGTTCTGATAAATTTTAGTGCTTTTTTTAACTTTCATATATTTTTTGATGCTTCTATAATGAGCATGAAGTACTGTTGATAAGAGGGGAGAAGAATACAGCTTTTTAAAGGAAACAATCAGGAAGTACTGTATTCCATAGGGCATGGTGAGCACTAAGGGGGGGGGTGTTTGGTCAACCAAAATCCCTGCATCCATTTATGATGATTTTATTATCAGTGCAAAAATCATTACTGTCCCCCTATATCCCTGGTATTCCTTCAGATTCTCCAGGGACCTCGTGTGCAAGATCCTTTTAAAAAAACACCATGTGACTCTCATGCCTGCTGAATAATTCTGAGTGCCCTGGACGCTGTCATAAATCTCCTGTCTGCCTATTTAATATAGTGGCAATCAAAATCATCTATTGTTCTTGAGGATTTAAGATGGTCCTTAGAAGATGAAATCAATATGTCCAGACAGCCATTAATCTGCCTCCGAGCCTCCTTTTCCCAACACGCACAGTCTGCCAGGGCACTGCCGGGCGGCGCTGGGCTTGACCTCTCGCATCACCCTTATTAAGCAAAGGATTCATCCCCTCTGTGGTCAGTACCCTTCCCAGTTCCTTTTAATTTTTTTTTAAATTTTAAGTGAATGGCTGAGTTAATAATTCCTCTTCCTCATGAGCCTGTGCTAAGTGGGAGAGCCAACAGCGTGGGCAAGAATGTGTGTGTGGAAGAAAATACGTGCAAAGTTTAGAAAATATCCACCCAGGGGCTGGGGATGTAGCTCAGAGGCACAGCACTGGCCCAGCATGTGGGCTAGACCCTGGGTTCCAGCCCCAGCAACACACACACACACACACACACACAATCCATCCGCGATCCACCAAGAGACCATGCACACCTGCCCGCTGCATGGGAGGGTCCTGGCTCTGCCTGTGGTGGGCTGAACTTACATGTGTTGCACGCAAAGGAAGCCACATCCCCTACAGGAGGAATAAAGGAATGAGCAGACCAGAGATTAGGCGGGCAGCTGGGCCCGGTGGTTAGTGGGAAGCTTCATGACTGCATGATCTCTGCTCCCAGCCCCAGGGGACAAAAGCCGCCATTTCTAAGGCTGGTCTGCTCTGTCAGATTCCGGGCTACAGTGCGGCCAGCAGGGGACAGGGTCCCAGGCTGTCTGCTCCACGGCCCTGCCAGGAGCTGTCGTCTTACACTGTCACCGGAAACAGCTTTGTCTGGGTCCTGAGAGTCTGGCCCAAGAATTCACTGCCCCAGACTGGCCTCACCCCTCTGTGCTCCGTGGGGGCCGCCCACCACGGATCTGATCCAGGAATCCCTTGGGAAACGAAGGTGCAGATGAAGGAGTGGACTGTGAGCCAGGGGGTGACGGAACCTCCCTTTACCTGCCCAGGTGATGCCGTGACGTACCAGGTGGACTCAGACTCCAATTTAGCCAACATGGATAAATCATGGGCACTGGAGTCGGTGGACATGGGTTCAAACTCCCCTGGACCAACTGGGAGGTTATGTGGACTTAGACGAGTTTCCTAAACTCGTGTGCCTCGGTTTCCTCGTGTGTTAAGTGAAGTTAACGATAGCTGTCTCGCAGGCACTGGCAGAATTTAATAAGATGGGACAAGTAGTGCTTTCAGCATGATGCTCGGCACAGAGTGACGCTCAGGAATCTTCCCCAAGCCCAGGAGGGAAGCACGATTGCTGGAAGTCCTGTCCACTGACTCAGGTAGGTGGCTCTTGAGAACACAGACCCCGGGAACCCAGTCTGCCCTTCCCAGACAGCGGGCGAAACAGCGCCCTCTGCTGGCCGCCTGGGGTTCTGCTCCTGGAGGTAGGTGGAGGGGAAGTTCACAGCCCCCAAAGGCCCTCAGCCAACCTCTTCCTCCTTGGAATCAGCAGCCGCCTGGAGGATCCTAGAGCCTGTCCCGCGCCCATGACTCACAGACCGCAGGGGAGCCGTCCCTGCCGGCCCTTCCCTGAGGCACAATGTACACTCTGCAGGTTGGCTGGAAGCTGGTGAGGCTGTAGCCCACCCAGACCTCAAGGGGGAGCCGTCCAGCCCCCACCTCCACCTTCTGCCCAGTGTAAAAGTCCAATCTGTGTCCAACCCAGGGCAATGGCACTAACGGGGGGGAAATTGGACACCTTAATGAATACGTGGGGAGCCTCTTTTAAATGGGGGCAGTTGCCCCTAGAAGCCACTCTCCCTTTCTTTCTCTTCTGCCTGGCCCATTAGGTTCTGGGTAGCAAGGTGCCCAGCGGGCACTCTCTCCCCTCAGGCTCCCTTCCTGTGTTCAGTGCTGACATTTAGAACAGCAGCGAAAAGTCATAAAGAAAAAAGATCACCCACCGCCCACTGCCTAGAGAGATGGCCAACGTTAGCGTCTGGGTGCATTGACCTCCAGCCTCCTTGGGATTCACATGCAGGATGAGCATTTAAAAAACTCATGCTGTGGACCCAGTTTGCAGAGTTTTTTTTTGTGTGTGTGTGTGCGCGGGGGCGGGGGGGGGCAGGGGGATAGAACCCAGGCCTCATGCCTCTTGATGGTGAAGCGTTCCACCCTCGAGCTGCAGCCCGCCCAGGTCCTGCCCTTCTCCCTGAGCACTGCAGCAGGGAATGAGTCTCTCCAGGTCACTGGGTGTGACTGCTCTGTCTTACCTGGGTCTATGGAGATGTCGCCTCCAGTTCTCTGATCTTCTGAACAGCGGAAGCTGATGCAATGCTACAGTGCAGAGGGTCTGGGGAAACGTGGTGGACCTCTGGGGTCGCCTCAGGGCTGAGACAGCTGGTCCGAGTCTTTGTATCCTTCAGGGCGGTCATTACCGTGCGTCCTGGAGTGCTGGTGAAAGCCACTGGAGCCTCTGCAACACACGACAGGAAGGACTGGGCCCGGCCACTCTCGTCTTTGCCCACTGTGGATGGCAAGATGGCACCCACGCCCCAACTTGGCCTGTGCGGCACCAAGACCAGAGCTTAGGACCGAAGGCCCATTTAGACAGCTGCCTCCGAGTTCTAGGAAAGCAGAGGTAGTCGAGTGTGACAAAAGAAAGGAGGTACAGTCACAGCTGGGGCCAGCGCTGAAGCCATGGAGACCACCAAGTGTTTACAGAGCATCTCGGCATCTCCGTCTGCTTTCCAGGGAATGTTAGATTGGCTGCGAACACTGGGAACGTGGTTTCTATTTTTCTCGTAGCACTTATATTTTGCTTCAGCTTATGCTAATTTTGTTCTTTAAGAAAACTCTCCCCTACTAGATCGCAGCCGTGCGAGGTGCTGCAGCATAGTTACCAAGGAGCAGCTTCAGTGTGGCAGACACACTCGAGTTTGAGATGTGACTCTCTCCTCTCTACACTTATTTCCTCGATTATAGAACGATGATAATACCTCCGGGGGTCGTTGTCAGTACTAAATTGGAAAATGCACATAAAAGTGCTTAGCCAAGTGGCTGCCACAGTCAGCCCTCAGTAAATGCTGGTTGGCGTTACTGCACCAGACACGGTATCTCAGCTTCTCTCCTTGCGCCTGGCTCCTGGCTGCTTGGTCCTTACTTGGTCCTTTCTGCCTTCAGTGGTTACTATTGTCCTTGGGCAGGCTGCTTTCACCCAGCTGGGCTCCTCGGGAGGAGGAACCATTGCTTGTTCATCTCAGAATTCCTTGCACATAATAGGTGTTCAAAAAACATAGAGGTGAATTGAGTAAATAACAATGTCTCGGATTCACGTAACAGTAGAATTTCTTAGATGTGAAGAAAGTCAGAGCCAGCCCATGTTTCAAAAGGAAAACCTACTGCTAGGTACACACCTTCCAGATGTGACGCATACAGGGAAGGACCACCGGTCTGCAGGGTGCTGTCGCTGTTTCTCTGTATTTTAGATAGCACCGAACATGGCCACTCCAGAGCCATCACCCATCAGAACAGTCAATTGCTAATCAGAGTTTAAAGGTCGAAGCTGAAGAATGATTCAAGTTTGTCCTGACTGATGATGTTATTTGTTCTCATTTGCAATCAGATACACAATTATCACCGGAGCCAAAGGGCTGGAGTGTATGGGGCGGCCCGTGGCGGTGAGTTCTGCAGGGTATCCTGGTGTCTGATGGCAGGGGACCAGAGACTGCTGTGCTCAGGCACGAGTACTGCCCGTGTGAGGTTGTGTACACAGCTCCCTCAAACCCCACCCCCAAATGATCACATGCTCTCTGAAGGCTCCATCTGGTCTCATGCAGCTTTATATTCCCAAGATCTGGGTCAGGCCTGGAACCTAGTAGGTGTTCAATGAACGCATGTTAAATAAATGAATAAATAGCATCCTGGGGAATCTTGGCGTATCTTTTCACCTTATTACAGAGAATCTTTTCTTGTTACAAGTACTGATAGCCAAACTCTCGTGAACGCTTCCAAAATAAGCTAAAGTAACACTAAGTTCTATTTCTTCTAGAGCAAGTGTGGCTGACCAGGCCAGAATTTTCCTGGCTCTAAGACAATGGGTTGCAACAATTATTATTTTTATTGTTTCTGTAATGTTCCATTTTTACTGTGAACTGCTGAGGGTGCCCTCAAGTGTCTCTTCATTGTAATATCACTTGTGCTCTTTGAAAAAATGTACTGACGGTGTTTTCAATTACCTGGTTAAATACAATTGGCCTCTGTATTTCAATTGTGAATTGAAAATAGTCTAAAGGGAAAAAAACTGTGTCTGCACTGACCATGTACGGACATTTTTTCTTGTCATTATTCCCTAAACAATACAGTGTTCAACTATTTAAGTATTTACATTATATTAGGTCATAGAGGCATTTAGAGATGACAAAGTATACGGGTGTGTGTGTGCAGGTGATATGAAAATATTGTCACTTATAAGGAACTTGAGAACCCATGGATTCTAGTATCCTGTATGGGGGGGTTTCCTGGAGTCAGTTCCCATGGATACGGAAGGATGTCTGGACAATGTGAAATGGTTTGGTTCGTTGTGTTTCTTGGTTTTGCATCTTGTGTTCAGGGCCCTACCAACCTCCAAGATGTGAAGCTAAAGATTAGTCCTCCTGTCTGGATGAGCTGTGAGTCTTTAGAGATGAAATGTATTTGAGCTCTGAGCTGCTCTGGCGAGGAGACCCACCCTGGGGTTAAGGACGCAGAGAGTCTTGTTTCGGGCTTTGGTCTGGAAATCGTTGCCCTCTAAGCCTCTGCTTTCAAGAACTCGGGCCACTGGCTCTTCCCTAGGTCAGAAGTAGGTGCCCCCTTGTGCCCCCAACGTACTGCAGCTGCTGACAGCTTCGAGGCTGGTCAGTGGAGAAGGCCAGAACACTGGGATGTCCCCTGGCCACCACTCCACGGGCTCCCCATAGTCAGGCCTAGAGAGTGCTTTGATTCCCAACAGTTCTCCAGGTAGAGAGAGAAAAAAATTGGTCACTCCCCTGGCAGGTACCCTCCACATTGAGTAGCGTATGGTTCTTTCTCCAAAAGGAACCCTAGTCTCAGGTTTATCTCAAATGGTATTTGAGGAGGAGGAGAAGGGGACTAGGAGACTTTCCAACTCAGGATACCCCATAACTTGTGGCCCATCTTGGCTGATAGGGTTCCAGAAACCGGAAACTCAAACTCCATGATGTGATTTCCGGAAGACATTGAGCCCAATGCTCTACTTTCATTGCAGTTGGTAACAAAGCCAGCGTTTGCCAGTTTTTCTCGACACAGACTGAGTCGCGTTGCACAGAACCTCTGTTGCTTACCACCAATAGCACCTCCAACCTGAGTGGCCATCATGGTGGACAAGGACAGGGAAGATGGACGCTAGGCCTGCTCAGCAGACCCCCTCCTGGTGGGTGGTCCTAGCTGTCTTTACCTGAGGAAGGCAGCAAATGCTGATTGTGTTTTCACAGAAGCCAAGGTTTGCATGATTTTAAAAAATCTTTTTGGTACACAGCTGGGCAATCTCTGTACGTTGGTCTCACCCAGGGCCAACACCAGACTCTTATCAGGCCTTCTGCCAGCTCCAAGAGGCCCGGGCAGCTTCCCAACTACAGTCCTTCACCCCTGGATCCTTTTACTCACTTTCAGATTGAGCTCATACTCTGGGAAGCAGTGGGTTTCAGCCCCAGGGAAAATAGGGAACAGAGCCTTCTCCGCCCACATATGCCACTGACCAGATTAGAGGTGGCTTTGAGCTCAGATCTTGGGACAAAGAGTCCTGCTGCCACCCTCTGCTTCCCCCAGTTTCATTTGAAGTTCACAGGGGCTTCACCATAATCAAAGATCCCAGTGAGTGAGGCTGGCGAGCCCGCCAAGGGCAGCAGCTTTAAACCCGGGGGGCCTCTGTACACCCAGCCCTGGGGCCGCTCCAGGACCCTCTGGGCCTCCTCCAGGCCCTGCAATCCCCACCCCTCCCCCCAGGCCCTGGGAACCAGGCAAGTTCCTGAGTCCTCCAAGGCACTGTGAGAATCATGAACAAGTCTGGGCACTGACCTGGGTCACCAGTGTGAAAGGGTTGTCCTTGGTCACCTCCCATGGAGCAAGGGGCCTGCAGCAGCCTTTCCAGCTTGTCTTTGGGAACAGTCCTCATTGTGGCCACCAGAGGGCAGCAGAAACCAGCAACCGGGGCACCAGGCACTGTTGTCTGTCAAATCAAGTAAAAAATGTTAGAAAACCGTCTTAGCCCAGATCCAAGCCCTGAGCACCCAGAGTTCAAGGCAGCTGAATGAAGGGGGAGGTCCCAGGAGCTGTTATAAAAATCCGCCCTCTACTTGGAGGTGACATAGAGATGGGCATGTTTGCTGATAACCACTGGTTTAAAACAGCAAATCCTAACTTTTTATGTGCCATGGATTCCTTTGGGGGCCTGCTGCAGCTACGGACGCCCTGTGGTTAAAAGTCATGCTGTTAACCACTTAAAAAAAAATTCATAGGATTCCAGTGGCAACCAGCTTTATTGCAACATGAAGTTACTAGTTCTTGAAAAAATGTGAGGCCACAGTACGTGTGCTTTCCCGTCAACAGCTTCAGGAACCAAATGGCGATCTACAACCACTGTGAGTCTGAAGAATGATCCGTGTGGGATACTTTTGACATTCCAGGAAGGGTTGTGATGAAGATATCTGGGATTTCTTTTGGCCATCAGGTCTGCTGGTAAGGCGACCGCGTGTTGCTGACTTTCATAACTAAAGGAAACCCTGTGCTTCAATTTGAGGTTATAAAAATAAAAAAGGTATTTTTTTCCCATCCAATTTCATGGACCCTCTGAATTTTCTCCGTGGGTCCCAAGGGACCCGTGGACCACAGACAAGGAACTTCTGAGAGAATCACAGGTGGAGAGACGCAAGGGAGCAGAATATCCCACGAGGAGCTGCTGTTGTTCCAACCCCAGATTCCACATTGGAAAGAGTCGTCCAGAGCTCCCGGGGCCCTGCCTCACCCCTGTCTCAATAGAAGTCGCCCAGGGTGACCGGTGCCTTTCACTGCCGGGGTGTGTGTATTCTCCCTCCTCAATGGTTTCTGGTCCCTGCAGTGGGGCTTATGGAAGATTTAGGATGCGGCCAGAACTGTCATCCCCTGGGAAAGCCTTGGCCGTCACCTCAAGGGCTTGCTGTTCCCACTCTGGCAGCCACAGGATGAACTTGGGTGTGCCTGCCAGCCCCGTGTCTGCGGAACGGCCCTGGGAGAGGGACAGGTTCCATTCCAGGGCCACTGGCAGAGCCAGGAGCACTCCCCAAGGCCAAGGGGCCTCTGTCTGGAGGTGGCTTTTCCTCCTGGCTGACAGCAGGATCCAAGATGGCTGCCTGACCACCTGTCCCAGGACCCAGGAGCAGAGGGGTCACTGTCAGGCCTCCGGGGACAGTGAGTATGGTACAAGTGCAACCACGGCCACGTGAAGCACATGATGTGGACACACTTGCACCTCCACGAGGCGTCCCTCAATGATCACACCTGCCTCGTTGACATAATATAGATGGGAGACAGGGGTTCCAGGTTCCAGTTGGCTTTGGGACTTGAGCAAGTGTCTGTTTGTCTATCTGTCTCTCTCTGCCTCAGTTTCCTCATCTCAAATGAGAGGCTGTGTGTGATGAGCCATAGGCCCTCCCAGCCCTCACCTACTCCAATGCTAGTAAGTTCCAGGGCTGGACCCTGCTCTGGGGCCCAGCCAGCAGCCACAGCACCATCCCCGCCCTTCCCTAGTTCAAGAAAACCTGTCGGGCACATGGCTCCCTGTGAATGGCAGCACAGACTGTGGACACCCTTGTTTCTGACCAGAGGCAGCTCAGGCCTCTCTGGCAGGAGCCCAAACCAGACATTTTAATAAACGTTGCAGGCTCAGGGTGAAATCTCCGATCTGAGTCCTGCATGAATAAGGAAACCTGCAACGTCACCATCTGCACTGACCTAGCAGCGAGAATGCTCAGACATTCCTGTCCAGGAAGAGGTCTGTGGAATGCCAGGCTAATCCTCTCCCACAGACAGGATAGGTGATGGCTGGAAGGAAAGCCCAGAGGCACAGGGAAGGGTTACAACATCTATCAGAGGCTCAGCCCAGGGGGAGCCAACTGCAGTGCAGTCACCTCCAGCCAAGAACAAGACCAGGTTTTCCTGGTGCAGACATAACATAGCAGCTAGCCGCTGGCAGAGGCCCTGCCACAAATCCCCGGGCATTAGCATAGCCAGCCACATTTTCCTTGAAGAGATGTGCACCTGAACCAGGGAGGTGTTTGAAAAACCTCACCGAGGGGCCCTAAATTAAAAGACCCAGACACATTCCAGACAGGTTTGGTGGACACGGTCGCAATGCCCTGCCAAGAAGGGCCACATTGGATGTCACGGCAGTACTGGAGGTGGGTGGGCGAGAGGTTGGCTCAGAGGTGAACGACTTTTCCTGGGTTGCAAAAGTGGCTGAGTTGGGGACAGAACTTAGATTTTCTGCCTTCTGTGCCAATGTTCTCCCCACCACAGGAAAATGCAAGCGGACCCACATTTTCAGGCTGAAGTAGCACCCCTTTTCTCCACAGAAAAGACTTAACTGGGCCTCTCCAGGAATCTTCTCCATGGCTGATTTTAGAACTGTCAGGAAAAGAGTCTCTGCAAAAGAGTCCATTGTAGATAAACTTCCTATTTTCCTGTCACCCTGTTTTACTTGGCCACTGGCTGAGAAGATACCAGCACTCCAGGTGCTGGACACCCCCTTACTAGTTGTTCACAAATGTATCCAGTATAGGACTTTGAAGAAATGTGCAAACAAGGCCTCTGGCCTGGAGCTGGGCTTCACAGAGATGTCCACATTCCTAAGATAAGAGAAGATACCAATTGGGCTCCATGGTAACAGCTGGCAAGGGGAGGAAAGAAAGGGGAGAAGAAGCTCCCCGCTTCTCAGGTGTTGCCCTTGAAGGGTTCACTTGCCCAAACCAGTGAAAGAAAAAGCTGCTTTTATGTGAACTTCTGCAGACTGTGAACTTCTGAGCCCCTCCCTTACATGCTGGGTATAAAACTCTGAAACTCCCTGAACTCGGGATTCGGGGGATTGATTGATTACAGCAAACGCTGTGCCCTCTGGACCTGGCTGCAGCCAAATAAAACTGTTTCCTGCTGTCTTCTGTGCCTTGCCTCGCCTGTCCCTACAACAAGGCCTCTCTCTGCTGGTGGGTTGTGTGCCTACCTGGTATGCTCCTGCGTGGCTGAGACCTTTTGGGTCTCTTCCGGGGAGCCCCACCTTCTCCAAGGCCCTTTCCAGGGAGAAGCTGCAGTCTAAGACGAAGATCACCATGTCCTTCAGCTGCTCCAAGTACTCCCCCAGCGAGATCAGGGAGCCCGCGCAGTCACCACATTCATATTTCTGGAACTGGGGACAGACTGTCCTGGGGACACAGGGCAAAGCTCATAGGCCCCAGACCCTCCATATGGTCCTGGGCAATGGATTTTTTAAAAGGACTGGGGTGAGCAAGGGTCGTCCAGGGTTGAATTTTCGGGCCCACTTTCTTGGTGGCAAGGTCAAGAAAGCGGTTTTCAGCAGAGGCCTTGGTTGGCACCCTGGAAACATGACCAGATTGGAGGTGACTAAATTGGCATGCATATCAAGTAGCCCCCACCACCCATTATATTTCCTATAACCCCACCCAAGACCAGCCAAGCCAGCAAGAAAAAACAGTGGTGCTCTCTCTGCCATGGAGGTGGGGCCAGCAGACCACACGGGACAGAGGACAATATCTCCAGGAAGCTTTCAGAACTGGCGGAGCCTGAGTCCTTTCTCTCTTCTTACAGAAACTCCTCTGTAGGATCAGGAGCCTTCTATAGTCCCGAGCCTGTTCTTCACTCACTCCCAAATCATCACGCTGTTGCTCCTTGCTAGACAACGCTGGGTGACAAAGCTGTAGCAATAGACAGGACACCATCCCAGTCCCTAAGTAGCTCCTGATCCTACACTGGTCGGTGAGAATGCATTGGAAACAGGTGCTTGCGATGCAGAGCAGGAAGTGGTGACAGGTCAGGCAGAGGAGTGACTCAGGGAAGGGAGAAACCCACTCTTTCTTATCATAATAATTTGGAACTGGATTGTCCCCCCAAATCCATGCATTGAAGACTTGGTTGCCAGCCTGTGTGCTATTGGGACATAGAGGAACCTTTAGGATGTGTGGCCCCGTAGAAGGAAGTTAGGTCATTGGAGGTGTGACCTTTAAAAGGATGTTTGACCCCTGCCCCTTCCCCTGCCCCCTGCTTCCAGGCACCGTGAGGTGAGCAGCTCTGCCCCAACATGCACCCTCTGCCACCGTGTTCTGCCTCACTATAGGCTCAAAAGCAACAGCACCAGTCATGGTCTGAAACCACAAGTCCAAATAAGCCTCTCCTCCTTGTAAGTTGTTTATGTCAGGCATTTTGTTACAGTAAAGGAAAGCCAACCATGTAACCATGAAGGAGTTGGTGCTGGGTGTTTAGGCATAAATAGGAATTTTCCAGTCACACAGGAGGAAGGCACATCGAGGCAGAGGGAACAGGATGTGGAAAGTGTGGGGGCATCCAGCACTATGGCCCACTGGGGGCTGTGCTCCAGGAGTCTCTGAGTTGGTGGTACAGCAGGAATCAGGGGAGCAACCTCAAGGAGCAACCTCAGCCCTGGGGTCTCCATCCCTGGAGTTCACAAAATGATAATGACAGGAAGTCCCTGGGGTGCTGTCTGTCTGGAGAGAGGGTTGGGGATGACTAGAGTATCTGGGTCAGAGCAGTTCAGCTGGGGCTGGATCACCGTGGGTCCTGAGATTGGCTACGGTGCGGGCCACAGGAAGGCACTGAAGAAAGTGTTTAGAAGTGGGGCTGTGGGGGTATGATTGGACCATGAGAGCTTCTAAACAGGAAAGTCATGTGATCATATTTAGATTTAGAAAAGGCGAGAGTAGAAGATGGGAAGGGGAGGAGAAGGTGAGACTAGGGCAAGGAAGGCAGTTATGAAGTCTTTTGGTCAGAGCTGCTCACCTCATGGTGGCAAGGAAGCAGAAAGAGTTCTTGCTTTTATAACAAATCCCTTCTTTCAAAACCCATTCCAGTATGGGTTCATCCACTGATGGATTAATCCACTGATGAAGTCAGAGCTCTCATGATCCAATCATACCCCAACAGCCCCACTTCTAAACACTGCTGTACCGAGGACCAAGCCTTCAATACATGAGATTTGGGGAACCTTTAGTTTCAAACCATAACACACCCCTAGGATAAAGTTTAATTTATCAATTAGGCACAGTAAGAGATTAACAATAATAACTAATAATAAAATAGAACAATTATAACAATTAGCTGTGTCGTGGTTTGAATTCGAAATGCTCCCCCAAAAGCTCATGAGTTAGCACTGCAGTGCTGTTCAGTGGTGAAAAGAGTGGATTGTGGGAGCTCAGACCTCATCAGAGGATCAATTTGTTCGATGGATTAATAATTTGAATGGACTCCTGGGTGGTACCTATAGGCAGGTGGGGCACGGTTAGGGGAAGAAGTCACTGGAGCGTGGGCTCAGGGACTCTGTCTCTGGCCGCTTCCTCTCTCTCTCTCTCTCTCTCTCTCTCCCTCTCTCTCTCTCTCTGCCTCTCTCTGCTTTCTGGCTGCCATGAGCTGACCAGCTTTCCTCTGTCCTTCCGCCATGATGTTTCGGCCTTGGAGCCAGCCACCCATGGACTGTCTCTGAAACTAAGAGCCCAAACAAATCTTTCCTTAAGTTGTTCTTAACAGGTATTTTGGTCGTCACTATGAAAAGCTAACTCACACTGTTAATAACAGTCGCTTAAAACTTTGAATTATTTATTTCTGGAATTCTCCACCTCGTATTTTAGACCTCAGTTGACTGTGGACAACAGAAGCCGTGGACACTGAGACCCTGGACGAGGGAGGACTGCTGTAGTTGAAAAGTCTGCGCGGAATCACACAACGCGGGTGATGTCGGCCGCTGGAGGTTAGTGAGCGAGGTGTGATCCTTTTCTTGTTAACCCTGCCCAGGCAGCTTTCTGGAGTGAGTGATGAAGTGACAGATGGCAGTGCCCAAGGGATCTCTCCTGACCTGGACTTTCTTAGAAATCCCAAAATTTTACCCTGATGTAGAGGCAAGGGATGGGATCAAGGGACAGGGGATAAGTGGGAACAGTAGGGAGGGCAGCTCCGTCTGGGCAACAGTCATGAGCGAGGCCCTGTGCCAGGCACTGTGGGGTCCTCAGGGCTGGACAGAGGGCTCTGGACGACACATGTGGCCACTCCCAAGCTTTGACTCCCAGGAACCCTGGCTTTTACCTGATGCCTGGGACAGCACCCAGGGTGGGCCACATCCACTACTCTGGCTCACTTTGGCCCAGCAGGGGCAGAGGACCACTGTTGGCCTGGCAGAACCTCTCGAAGGCTGGCACCAGGGACCTGTGCAGGACCACCAAGCTGGCTGGCCGGAACCCTGGGTTGGATGGGAGGAGGGACAAGGGCCCACTGAGTCGCTGCCTGGCAGACGCTTTTAAATTTCACTTTTTTCCCCAGTGCTGGGGGTTGAACCCAGGGCCTTGGGCATGCTGGGCAGTGCTCTTTACTTTACTTCTGATTACAACATTATAGACATCGGGAAAGGTGCCCGAAGGTGTCCAGCTTGGTGAATTTTTACAAAATGAATATAGCGTGTAACCAGCATCCAGATCAAGAGACAGACATTATCGGCACCCCTGAAAGACCTGCTCCTGCCCTCCAGCCACCGCCCCCTGCCAGGGTGACCACTCCCCTGACTCCTCACACCACACACTCCTTTGGCCTTTCTTGGACTTCATGCAGTGAAACCACACACTAGGTGCGTTCTGAGTCTAACTTCTTTCACTCCACAATACACTTGGGACGATCTTGAATATCATTGTGTTAAAGCTGTCCGTCCCCCTTACTGATGAGCATATGTATGTAATTCGGGCCTGTTGCTAATGGACATTTGAGGAGTTTCCAGGTTGGGGGTGCTAGACACTGTGCCCCCCGTGAACACTTTAGCACATGCATTTGGGAGTTCGTGTGTGCGCGGCTATTTGGCAGGTACCTGGGTTTGTGGGATAGATATAGTCAGCTTCCCACGGTGGCCCTGGCCATCTGCTGCCAAAGGCATGCTGGTCCCCAGTCCTTGGCATTGCCTGCCTTCCTGCCTTCCATGTTTGCCATTCTGGCGGCTGCGGAGTGGCGCCACCCTGTGGTTGTCACACGCATTGCCCTGGTGTGGCTTGGTGCCTTTTCACCTGTGGCATCGGCCATTGGTTGATCTTTTGGGGAAGGAATCTGTTGGGTCTTGTGTGGGACAACCAGCTGCCGAAAGGCCAAGGAAGCTGCCGTGCTCTTCAGGACTACGAAAATGACCTGGAGCAACGCGGGAGGGGTGACAGTCAGCTCAGAGTCTCCCTACTCTACCCGCTGCTTCTTCCCTCCCGAGCCTATTGTGAGGATAAATTGGATTTTTAATACAACAAATCAGGGAGGCTTCAGATGCACAAAGCTTCTTTGTTCCCTTTTAATTAAATGTACTTTGGGGGGTACTATGTTTAGGTTTTGTGTTTTTCCCCCTGCTGGAGATGAATAGAAAAGTCCCCAGTTGTCCCCCTTAGTGACAAGTGGAACAGAGGCCTCACTGTTTGGTGAGGGCTCTTTCCTGCCTGTGTGATCCCTGCAACCCGGGTCTCCCAGGCTCCACCTGACTTTGTCTTTGAGGAGAGAAATGAAGTGATTTCTCTGAGTCTTTTACCTAAAAATCAATATTTTAAAACTTAATAAGAGTGACGGAGAGGAACTCATCTTTACATCCTCGTCTGATTTAAAGCCCCAGGGAGAAGTCCAGGCTGGAGTTTTCCAGCCATTGGGTACGGTGAGCTTCTCTGGCCCCTCAGGATTTCCCAACAGGTGACGTGGACGGAGTGCCCTACTTACCTTAGCTCAGGCAGATCTCCCTCCCGAAGGTAACATGGGGGATTCTATTGCTACCTTCATTTTGGAAGAGGAGGCTTGGAGAGGTCACATAGTTCCCCCACATCTCCTCGACCAGTAGGGGCAAAGCTGGGGTCCACACCACAATGTCTGATCTGGGGGTCTAAGGCCCAGCTCTTCCACCCTAGGGCACCCCGAGGCCCCTGCAAGCTGGTTTAAGGTAGGGTTTGCTGATTGCATAAATGACTATGGCTCTCTGTAAATGATGCTTCCCAGCTCTTTTGCAGTGGACCCTGGCCTTGGCCATGAGATTTGCTTTAGGGAACAGGATGTGAGTCAGTGATTGTGAGGGGTTGATGTTTGCGAGGACATTAGGGCTCACCCTCACGGAGTACTGTCTCTTGGAGTCCTCGGCTACTACAGAGAGAAGTTTGGCCACTCTTGTTGGAGAGGCTTCATAGCCAGAAGCTGGCTGTTCCAGCCATCCCAGTGGACACCAGACATGTAAGGGGGAAGCCATTTGGCTGGTCCATCTCCAGCAGATACAGTATGGACAGAGGGATCCCTCCACCAACCCAGCCTTGGTTGTAGAGTTGTGGGAATTACGGTTTTAAGTCACGACGCTTTGGGGTGCTTTGTCAGGCAATAATACATAACCGTTAGCCCACAAATAGAAACAAAGGCCAAACGTGTTGATAAACAAAACGAAGACTGCCTGTTCTAGCGAGTTCTTTAAGTAGTGTTACTGTTTTCTCTTTGGTATTTGCACCATTACCAGGAAAATCTGCTTTTATTGTGAAATTTTTCTGGGACTTAGGTCAGTGACAAATTTGGTATGTGTTCTCTCTTGCAGGGTCCTTCAGGACCGTGGGTGTCCCCCTGGGAGAGGGTAGGGAGATGGGTGCTACCCAGAGAATAAGGCCAGTCAAAGGTGGGGAGACTTGGTCTGTATCAAATCTGATTGGACTGCAGTGTAACCTGGGGTACTCTTCCCAGAAGGGACAGCCCCTTGGTCATCGGAGCCCATGGGCAGTTCTCCTTCTGGGGCTCAGCTGAGGAAGCAGCAGTGGGTGACCTGAGACCCCTCCCAAGGCTTCCTCACCTCTGAGAAGCTAGGAAGTGACCAGGGCTAATCCCCCTCTGCTCTTACATCCTGCTCCTAGGCAGAAGCTCTAAGTCTGGGGGAGGTCTAGAACCTACCCAGTTGATATTTGCAGAAAATTTTTAAAATATCTTTGAATTTTATTATTATTTTAATTTCACAAGTTTTATGAGGAATAGTGTGAAATTTTGATACATGTATACAGTGCATAACGATCATGATATTCTAAAAGCCAAAATCAGGTCTTTTGCATCGCATCCCATAGCTTGGATCTGTAACAAGTGCCAGGTGTCACCTCTATGAAGATGTTTTACGTGTCCTCCTCATTTACCCTTATTTACTCCTTTTCAGTTCATTCTCTTCATGTCATGTATCCTTGGAAGTTAATTAATTAATCTATTGGTCTATTTTCTATATTTCTTGCTAGAAATTGACCCGGACCTGTGGGTGACGGCAAAATGACAGAAAGGGTCATCAGCTTCTGCTGGTCCTTCCGTGCTCTGATTCAGCCTATTTATATAATGACAACCCCAATATCCAGAAATTGTCAAAAGCACCTGGTGCCACTTACCCGCAGCCATGTTGGATGTGTTTCTGATGTTTGCTTTCCTCTGTAGGATCAAGCTCCTTATGGCAGAGGGAAGGTCGGGCCTCCGGAGGAGGATGAAGGACGCCAAACCTCCTGTGACTGGGCCACGGGGACTCTGGGTGGAGGCAAGAGGGGAACAGGTTAGCAAGCACAGCCTCCACCCCAGGAGGTGCCCCGGCAGCATCAGCTCCCTCCTCCTGGGTATCTGGGGTGATGTTCTTCCCCTGCTCAGGTCTGTTTTGGGGTGACTCTGGCTGACCTGGGATGTCCTCCCTCCCTCTCTGAAGGCCTTTCCCTTCCTCAGAAGCACTCAGAATCCCTGTCTCAGTGGCCTCCTAGTCTACTTGACCCTGAACTCCTTTCTCTCCCCTGGGCCTGGAAGGCAGGAACCCACCTTAGACCTCTTCCCGAGGCCCCCGAGTACCATCCTAAGCACACAGCACACACCAAAGACTTTCAAGGAGTGAGAGAGTGAGTGGATGTCACCCGCAACCACAGATGAACTAACAGGCTGACTGCCGCTCTGCTCCTGACGCCTGTGACTTAGAGTCAGGTTCCTAAAGGCAGGAATTTTGTGTTTTCTTCCCTGTGCTCCCCTACCCTATTTTAGGAACAGTGATTTAATCGAATTTTTTGTTGAGTGAATAAATAATGTAGAGTGGAAAATAGAATGCATTTTTTAAATCAGCTAAAAGTTTTTAAAAAATCATTTTTTAAGTATACAGAGGGTCTCAGAGCTCTGAGAAATTATGCTCAGAAAGGAATCTTCTAGGTTGACTTCTTATACTCTATAGAGAGTAGGCCCAAAGTGTTAGCAAAATCTAGGCCACAAGATCACACTGGGTTGTCCTCTAAGACGTGGCCCGTGTCCTGTTCATTCAAATAGACCCCATGTCTTGCACGGAGACACAAATGCAGGAGTCAGCCAGTGTTTGTGAATGACTGGCTGATTGCAGAACAGGCGAGAATGTGATTTAAGGGTGGTTTTCATAGTTAGGGTTCTGAATAAGTCGGATTGTCCACAACTCTTTCTATCTAAGAAGAAGTACCCACTGGGATTCCAAACCACTAATTTATGTTGTCAATTCTAATCTCATAGATAGAAAGACATGTATGCCCCGGGTCCGTTTTAATGAAGACTTTGAGGTTACATAAAATCTGGAACAAACAGAACAACAAAAAGATTGCCCCGGCAGAGGAAGAGATGTATTCAAAACTGACATGAGTGCTTTTATAGCTGCAGGAACAAAGGCGACACAGAGAGGGAACAGTTAGTCCCGCCTGGGGGGAGTGGGGGGGGGCTCAGAAGGGTCAGGCGAGGTTGGATTCCACACCCCAGGGGAAGATGCCAGCACTAAGGTCAAGCCCATGCTTGCCTGCTGGACCAGGGCGGCCTGCCTGAGCCTTGCAGGCCTGGCTGAGCAGCCCCTCACCATCTGAGGTTCTAGATGCTGTGGTTCCCAGGGTCACGGCAGAGAATTTAGCACCTCAGCCTGATGCTCAGAGAGAGAACCAAACTATGAGGGGACAGTGTCGGAGCCTCTGGTAATTGTGCTCACCTAGGACCTGAGGAGGACATAGAGTTTACCCAAATCCACTAAAATGAGGCTCCCACACTAGTCCCTTGTCCTGTTAAGACTCTAGAAGGCAGCAGATGGAGGCAGGGGGTTGTTTGGCCGATAAATCATACCCTGAAGACAAACGTTTAGGGTTGTGGTCTTTCCTTTATTTATTCATTGTTTTAATAAATCGTAAGTGAATAATCGCAAGTGAATTCCAGGTTCATTTCTGGACCTGAACTTGTAGCTATTAACCTGTCCTGTAAGACGCATGCCCACAGGGGTAACAGGCCAAGAATCCCTGCCTTACAGTCACCCCTCAAGGCAGGGGTCAAGCTTGAGGTGACTGTAAGACTTGGCTCCTGCCCAAGTCTTCACCACACCAAGCAGAGAGTGCCCAGGTAATAAAAAACACAACTGCCACCATGTATGGGTCCCCATGATGTGTTGGACCCAGGTTGGGCCTTTCCACATACCACCTGCTGGTTCCTCCCCACAGTCCCCCAGAAAGTCACTATTAATACCAACATAGAAAAAGAAACTGAGATTCAGGGGAGCTGAAGAAGTTTCCCAGAGCCCCATGACTGGTACGTAGAGCCCAGGTCCAAACGCAGGTCTAAGTCATGCTCACTTGCTTGGTGTGCACCTGTCTGTGTCTGTGTATCTACAGATCTGTGTGTTCTTCCCCAGCCAGCCGTCCCGCTTTCCCAAGCTCCTCCTCATGAACAAGCTACTCTCCTGCCTTACTAAGTCACATCCAGAAACCTGACTAGTGTCCAGGCACAGTTCATCCATACGTCTGTCTGTCTGTCCATCCATCCATCCATCCAACGAGCCTCAGGGCAGGCTCCGAGCAGACTGTCTGGCTCTAAACCTGGGTCTACACTCAGGCACAGATCTTTAGCCACTCTAGGCTTATCCCTCATCTGTAGAGTAGGACCAGCAATAGAGGTGCCTCGTTGAGTTGTGACCAGGGCGAACAGGTTGGGACCCCTTCTGGCCTGGCCCTCAGCTAATAAGGCAGTCCAGTCACAGCCCACACTCACAGGGGTTTACCAGCCCTGGAGACAGACATTAAACACACAATGACCCTCGTGTCTGTCTCCCAGACAAAGACAGAAAAGTCAGGAGTGAACTTTAACTCCACACGCTGCATGCTCTGGGCCCCGTGGACAGGGGTGGAGGAGGAGAAGGGGCTGAGTCTAAAAGGATGAGTAGGGGGTCTGAGGAGCAAAGGGAAAGGCCCGCTCAGAGCAGGGGACAGCAGGAGGCGTGGGACCTCCCAGCATGTGCTGCAGGTAGGAGGCGGCAGGAGGAGGGCCGGGTGGGCAAGCAGAGGCCAGCTGAGCAGGGGTCCTGAGAGATGAGCATCTGCAGCCTCCCTCCCACCCAGCAGACTGCCAGGGGACAGCCGGCTTTAGCTCTGGGTGTGTCCTGCAAGACTAGACAGTGCTGGGCAGGCTTGGGGGAGCAGCGGAGGTCGTTTCTGTGAAGCAGAGACAAGGATTCTCTCTCTCTCTCTCTTTCTCTCTCTCTCTCTCTCTCTCTCTCTCTCTCTCTCTCTCACACACACACACACACACACACACACACAGATTGTCCTTGTTTCCTTTCGGTTCCGCTGGGGCAGGACTTTTTAGAGATCTGTCTTAGTCATTGCTGTTCCCTCAGTGAATCTTCAGCAGTCCCTGGCACTTGGAAAGCACCCCCTCCAGGTCCCCTGTTGGGGAAATGGACAAATGCACAGAGCTTCCTGAGACGAGGCCGCCTCAGAGGCAGGAGAGAACCACAGGCTCAGAGGCTGGGGCAGCAGGCGTCTCTCAGAGGAGTTAGAGGTTCTACAGGGGTGAAGATGGACACAGCCCCAAGGCCCCCAGTAGGCTTTGTAACCCAGGTTCTTTTTCCTCTGCTACCATGATGGAGCCACCGCAGGCCTGTCAGCTGACAAGCACAAGGGACACCTTATACTTATACCTTATATATGGGATTGCATTTGAGACCTTGAGGGGCACCAAAAAAAAAAAAAAATTGGAGACACAGTCCATTTTCTCCAAGCTCAGAATCTGGCCAAGAAGAGCACATTCTTCACAGGGAGAACAACTCATGGTGTCCCACAACTCCAGTTCTGGTTTCCATGGCTGTCCCCTGGATCACTTCCCCAGAGTCCTACAACTTGATAAGGGAGGAACAGAAGGAGTAGGTGTAGAGTACTTGTCTCTACTCATTAATTTTTGTGGTGGGAGTTGCTCAGTGTTTGCCAAGAGAGTTGCTGGTGGTAGGCTAAATACAACGGCAAATTTGCAAAATAAATGTTGCTGTAAGGAAGGAAGCATTTAGCTATGCAAACATTTCATTAAAAAATGTCATTACAATCTCAGAGACAAAAGATCGGGGGAACGTCGGCAGTCATAATTAGTGTTTGTTTATTGACTAGGTCAGATACAAGTGGACTCGGTATGCAAAGGGTTGTGAACAGATGGCTACTTTCAATCAAGACAAGTGGAGGCTCCTTCTCCTTCCCGTTTGTAAACAACGCAGTCCTAGCACTATTAGAAGGCACAGAGGGAGGCAGGGATCCATGGTGGGGGACAGGGGAGAGGAAGCTGTGGTGGCACAAAGCAGGGTGCCAGAGCCCAAGTGGCATGAGTAGGCCTTACCCAGGAGAGATGATCCTGCCCCTGGTGGCCCATCCCATTGAGGGTGGGGAAGGTGTCCACATGTATGGGTGACGGTCTACTGGAATAAAAAATCAATAAATTAAAATATCCCAGATGTAAATTGCGAGTAAGATATATTCACTTTGAATGTTTAATTTCACACTAGAAAAAAAAATTGGGATAAAAGAAACATATCTCAACACTGTAAAAACTATATAAAACAAACCCAAGGCCAACATCATTTTAAATGGAAAAAAAATGAAAGTATTCCCTCTAAGAACAGGACCGAGACAGGGATGTTCACTTCCATCACTTCTATTCAACATAGTTCTTGAAACTCTAGCCAGAGAAATTAGGCGAAAGAAAGAAATGAAAGGGATATAAATAGGTAAAAAGAGCTAAGACTATCTCTGTTTGCTGATGACATGATTCTATATTTAGAAGACACAAAAAACTCCACCAGAAGACTTCTGGAACTCATAAATGATTCAGCAAAGTAGCAGAATACAAAATTAACCCCCATAAATCAGTTGCCTATGCTCCAATGATGAATCAGCTGAAAGATAGATTAAGAAAACCATCCCATTCATAATAGCCTCAAAAAAAAATACGTGGAATCACTTTAACAAAAGCAGTGAAGGATTGTACAGTGAAAATTACAGAACAGTAAAGAAAGAAATTGAGGAAGACCTTAGAAGATGGAAAGACCTCGCATGCCCTTGGATAGGCAGAACTAACATTGTCAAAATGGCCATACTACCCAAAGCTCTAAACAGATTCAGTACAATTCCCATCAAAAGTCCAATGACGTTTATCATCGAAACAGAAAAAGCAGTCATGAAATTCATTTGGAAAAATAAGAGGCCCAGAATAGCCAAAGCAATCCTTAGTGAGAAAAG